GTGGCCATAATAAGAATCTCGCAAGTCTGATTATGCTGTACCACCTCCCCCTTGTTATACTTCTGTGAGTTAGTGAGGTTCTGTCTGAGCTTTTCTGTATATTTTCCATCTGTTGTGAACTTAAGATATGCTCACCCCTCGGCACTTTGGTAACGGAGCTTGCACATCTCCGTCAAGGTCGTTGGGCTTACTCTCTAAAGGTACACAGGCATCACTCATATTTCTCTGTTAATACTGTGCACTGATTAAGATATTTTGTTGTCTCTTGCCTTTCTGACTATAGCCCAGGTTTTTTCCCCAATACCCATTTTGGTTGTTGCCTGTTTTCCTGTAAGGTGCTTCTCATATGATATCTAAATATAATGTTTTTATCTATCTAGCAGTTGCCCCAGTTTAAAAAAATATAGCCACATTTTAGTTAAAACTAAAATTGGGTACAAATGGCTTTTCAAATTTCTCCACCAAATTTGTGAACCAAAAAAGTGAGAGAATTTCTCCTGTGGAAGGCAATTTTTTCCAACAATTTCCCAAAGTTCTGATTCTGAACTGCCATGCAGAAAACTGAACTGCCATGCAAAAAAGCCCATGGCAGTTCCCCCTTGAGATTCTCCCTTAGAATGGGATTGAAATGTGGGAAGCTAGCATGACTGCAAGTCACTGGAGAGAGTATTATATAAGATATTCACGTGAGCAGCTCATAACTAGATAAGTGCAACAATGCCATACTCCACCCATGATAATTCCTAAAAAATTCTGTTGGGGAAAAAAGTCTTTCATCAAATTAAATGAGAACTATTAGAAAAACATGCAAGGTAAGGTAAATTTGTTGGGTGCTAGTTAAAATTATTCAGAAGTGTGAATTACTGTCACAAAAACTGTAGACTATGCACTTTGGACCCTCAAGAAGTGTAGAGATATGCCTTTCCTGTCGTCATTGCACCAAGTGAGTATGTCTTGCATGGCATTGCACATGGTACAATGAAAGCTTAATATCACTCTGGGTTCCTTAGTGATCAACCCCCCCATTTTTTTTCACCCTATGACAGGCTTGGTCAAACAAGCCAGAAAAAAGTATCCATACATGTTTTTGAGTTCCAATGAGTTTTATAAAGTACCTACCACCATAACTATTCTTGGATATCATTTGAATTCTAAACTTGAGTTTGTAATGGTGTATTATTTGTCATTATCGTTCACACTTGGCACTCAGAAACTCTGAAGAAAGTAGCGCAAGAACACTCGGTGAAGAAATTGCTCTTGTTTATTTAAATGGAGCTCCAGAGGGCACAACAATTTCCCTGTACTTCCCTTGGTTTGACAGATGGGTGCCCTTTTGGGGTCTCATCAGAAGATGCCTATACCCATGTAGCCTGGAGGCATCCCTTGCTTGTAATTATTCTTTCTCTCCAACCCTTCCTCTTTGTGATGGTGCTCTGATTGTTTTGTCTCCTGCATTTGCATGGCAGGTGCAGGCTTCAACACAGTGATTTTTAAACTTCAGGCTCTCCCTCCCTCCCTCCTCCTTTTAAGGCGGTAGACTCTCTCCACCCCAGCCTCAGGAGCCTATAAGCTCTTCTCCTCCACTTTCCCAGAAACTTGAAGATTGCATGGCTGAGATGCAATTCTTCTTTCTTTCTTTCTCTCTCTCTCTCTTTCTTCTTTCCCCCCCTTTATAGATGTGGCCAAAAGAACAGCCAATTGTGAGGAGAGATGGGATGGACGCCCAAAAAGAGAAGCCTGCAAAAAGGGACGCTGGGTAGCAGGCGAAGGTTGGAGTGAGGGAGCACTAATCGCTGAACCAGGAGACAAATACGATTACCAGCTCCGAGCCTTGAGTCAGAAAGTCTCATAGACTTTAAGATGTTAATCCCCAAGCTAATCCTTCCTTTGGCGTGTCGGAATAGTGCAGCCACAAGAGTTGTTTTGTTATTTATATTGGCGTTTAATAAAACTCAGGCAGTGGTGAATGGGTTGCCCACTCTCCAATGGTAATTAATTCCCTATTTCAGTGACCCAATTGTGCTGGGATAGAGCAGCGGGACAGTCCCACTGCCCCAACCCGCCTTTGTGCAGCTTACATGGCTCTCGTGCTTCAACAGCTATGGAAACCCATTCTTTTGATGTCATTCAAGGAGTTTTCCTTGGGTATCTTCTAAACTTCAAGAACTCCTTTCTTTTCCCAAATGCATGAAAAGCGGGCCTGGCTTGACCACCTCTGTAGAATTTAATGATTCGTTGAAAGAGTCTTGAGGAAGGAGGGGGCAAGAGAAGGAGAAGATATAGACAAACACATATCCGTAGAAAAGATGGGGAGAAAGAAATCTGACAGAACCCTATTAAAATAAACTCTGTGCTTGAAAGTACATGATCATCAACTTCTATTTTATTTTTTATTTATTCAATTTCCAAATGTTGGAAGTCAAAGGGCTGTATTTCCAAGAATATTTAGAGCGCAGTAGGAAGGAATTCATTCAGGAGTAATAAAATCAATGCGGAGTGCATTGATTTTAATCAACATAGGAAGTTCATGCAGCAGCAGCACTGAAAACCATCCTAACACAAAATAGTATGACTATGTCTTTATATACACTTTCAGTGGGGAAAAAATCTCTTAGCAAGTCACAGAAACAATTCAGAATTCAGCTATAAGAAAATACAGAGTGAACCATATGGCCAGGGTAGCTTGAGTTGGCTGCATTTTTTCTTAGACAAAGAAGGGATTGAGAGTTGAAGGAAAGGAGAAAAAAAACCCAACTTTCCGGCTGATGAAGCTGTTGTCTGGAGCCAATGATCCCAAATCTCAAGGCTTTATTCCAAGCTCCGACTGAGACGTGATATGTCATATGATTAGCATCTTTCATATTTACAAGAGAAGGATAGGCTGCCAGCCTTTAGAGAAAGGCGAGAGAAAGAAGGGGCATATGCTGAAATGGATTTAGCATTTGAAAGAGAGAAAAGAGATCGGATAAATACACTTAAACGAGGATTTAGTTTTACTCCTGTTGAGTTCTAATGGATTGTTGATTGAGATTTTAGGGAGCTGGAACAGGGGTGTCACCAGTAATTTAAAAGATGCTATTCAGCTCTTGACTATTTCTTCTTCTTCCACACTTTGTGTATTAATGGGTTTAGTGACAGCTTGAGCTAAAAGAAAACCTTTTTAAGAAATAACCAAAATATGATAGTGGAGCTTGCCTTCACTTTTGAAATGTAGATAGCTTTCATAGTTTAGAGTGCAATTTTCGTTTTGCTGAAGAGAACTTCAAAGTCTGTTGGTAAGAGACTTGCATCACATTTGAATAATTATTTTAATTCATGTGAGATTATGCAAATTGTCATTATTTCAAAGAAAAAAATAGATGACCCTTGCTTGCTATCTTCATGCTGTGAAAGGGAAAGCAGAGAGTACACTGGCACCACCTAATGGACAATCTTTATTTTAGCTAGAATCTTAACTCTTCAGAAAACAACATTTATATTTCTGAGATACAGTATCTTAAATCCCTGAATATTTTTTATATAATACTTTGAGAAGGCAGGCAGTATGGTATTTTAAACAATTGCAATAGCATTGTGATATAGTTAAAGTAATATATGGCTAAACAATGGAGGACTAATTTCTATTAGAAGTTTAAATTCTTTCTACCCAAAACTGTTTTTCAATTAAAATTGCTTTTCTATTCAAAGTTGCTGCAACTTATCATATATATGTTAGATACTTTGAAATATAGTATATACTTAATAAATAGGATAGACTCTTAACTTTGATACATTTCAAAATCCACTTTCTAAAGTATAACTGGAACCAGCTAAAAATGAGAACATATGTTCAACTGATCATGCAACTAGTTTCTGTGCTGCTAGTTTTTGTATGATGAATAGAACTGTATTTTCTGTACAATTATTACCAAAAAAATTATTACAAAGTTATAGGACTTTTATCATTTATAATGATTTCTTAGGAATGTGAGATAGGTAAACATTAATTTAAGAATGCTTATTAAAATAGTATTTACATTTGATTGCCTCCCCAAATCCCAAAGATGTCATGCTTGATGAAGTGAATATTGGTACTCAGAAATGTATCCTGTTATATATTTATTAGTTTTTTAAAAGTTTCTTTAATGTGTTTGTAATAATCATGGCAGCTAAATTATAATATTTAACAATTTATATTAATCAATAGGATGTGAAATATAAGATGGAATCTAAAGCAATGAATTATGTCTTTCTTTATAAGCAGTGCTACTTATTCTAAGCTTTTAGAAGATGTTCATACAAAGAGAAAATCTTCTAAGATTGCAAAACATACCCATGCAAAACTAAGCCAAGCGTAGAATTTTTCTCAAATGAAAACATACTTTCCATTCCCCTCCCCCGATTTCGTATTTGTCTGAGGCAGCTAACCAACGAATGCCAAGAGTTACAGTAGTGTCACTTTATTGTTAGGGTCTGTGTTGATCCGACACACGTTGAACACTATGTCTTGTTCTAGCAGTACACTTAAAAGATTCAGACAAATGAAACAAAGATGATCAGGGATCCATAAATAATTAAGTCCGATGTAGAGAAATTTAAAGAACTTGTTATATTCAGCTTACAGAAAAGAAGACTGGAGGAGGATATGATAGCACTGAAATATGTGAAAGGGTATTACATAGAAGGCCAAGCCACAAAATAGTGGATTTAAGTTACGAGAAGGCAGATTCATATTGAACTATAGAAAATATTTATTAACAGTAAGTGCAGTTTGACAGTGAAAATTATCTAGAGAATTAGTGGGTATCCTTCCTTTGGATGTATTCTAGCTTAGGATCAATAGCTATTTGTAAGAGATGCTTAGTTTGAATTCCTGCATGAAGTAGGGAGTTAGAATGGATGGATTAAAGAGTCCCTTCCAGCACAGTGATATTAAGTGATATAGTTGTAAGAGTAAAAAAAGCCAAGTACGGACTTTCTTCCCAATGATCTTACACAATCGATTACAGAATATAGGCATCTATTTTAATAGTGAGAACTGTAATCCATAATTTATGAAAAAACATCTTAAAATAACTGAGTTTATTTAATTCCATTATATTTACAGAGTAGTATAAGAATTAAAATAACCATGTATTAAGAAAAAGTATGTTGACATGGAATGTACCGTTCCTAGTAAGTTAGCTTTCATTAGAAATGATCTTGTTACAATATAAAGTTATTTATTATATTTAAACTTTCTTAAAAACCTCTAATGCATGTAACAGGATTACTGGTGGCACTTGAAAATATCAAAATTGTTATTTAATTCCGATATTCAAGATGAAACCATTGATATAATCCAATATTTTTATGTGTTTGTTTTTTGTGAAAGTGATTCATTTTTAGATTTTTCCTTTTCCATGTTCATTTCTTCTTCCACCTTCCTTGTGAAATAAGATTTAATGATATCATTCAGTTGCCGCTCACATTGGCTAACATGTTGTAATCCATTCTTTCTCCCTATAAATAGCAGAATAGTATATTTATATATTAACAGTTCAATTTTAATTTTAATAATATATTTTAAACACACTGGCCTAGATACAAAGAACCATATGATAATTTTTGGATAATTCTACCCAAGCTTGATGTAGTGATGACTTCAGAGAGAGCCAGTTTAAAGTGGTGAAGGTATCAGCTTGAGAGACCTTGGTTCAAACCTCCAGCAGATCACAGAACTCTCCTGGAGATTTTGGGACAGGCATTCTCTCTCTAATCAGCCTACTTCAAAAGACTGCTATTGTAAAAATAATACTGGGGGGATCCCCTCTACCATCTTGCATTTCAAAGAACAGGGAGACTATAAGTACAATGAATGAATACATGAATAATTTATATTTTAAAATACAGTATCTTACTATACCTGTGCAGTGCTGAATAACACGTCCCCACAATTTGTTCTTTCTTAAACAGTTTAGATTTCCTGCTATCAATAAATGTCTCTTTCCTCTTGTCAGAGCCACATTCACTCTCTTTTCTGAATCTATGAAGCCAACTTGTCTCGTCCTTACACAAGATAAAACAATTATTTCTTTCTCTGCTCCCTGAAAAGCATCAACAGTAGACACCTGGACAGTCTTGATTTGTGTAGCATCCATGCGTACAGCACCAAGCAAGTTACGGATCTGCAAACACAAACAGATGAAGTCCCTGACATTTTACAGCTTTGTATAAGACTGAATGAAATAAAATATCCACCATTGGAATGGGTTGATTAAAAAATATATTTGAAAAACACAAATATCAATGAAAATTTATGGTAAGGTATACACATGACTTTTCTAAGTAAAGTGAAACAGCACATCCAAAACTGAGGCAAACCATCCCATTACTGAAGTATACATATTTGGTTTTTAATTAATAATATATTTGAAACAGGATCATCTCCAATAATTCCCAATTAGTTTAAAGAATATTAAGGCAAATTAAGTCATAATGAAGCTGAGGATTCCTTGTTTGAAAAACATCAAATTAAAATTTACACTTAATATTATCCTGAAAAATACTGCATTGACAATGTTTTGTTGAGTAAAGCATACCTTGCTCATTTGGGATTTGTAGAGGGTTATTACCCCAATCATAGATCCATCTACTCCGCTGGCAATCAGAGACTGTATTAATTTGACAATGAAAAAAGATTCTGCCATATTGTGAAAACTATTGTCTGTTTCAATCTAGAAACCAGAAACAGATTTTGAGTTATATAACCTGAAAAAAAGCCAGTTAACTCATTTGTTTGGTGAAATAATGAAATGTAGTACTATTAACTCAAGACTAATTATCAAGTTAGATTTGTCATATGGTTGCCACTGGAATGCTCAATCAAGTAGGACAGAGAAGTGCATGCTATGGGAAGAAGCTCATTCATATAGATTAACTATTTTAGCCATGAGTGTATGGGTTTATGAAATGGAGAAGATCCATGGATATGTTATGCTCAGGACACAATTACTTCATGGATACATCTTCTTCAATTTCAGTCCTAAACAGTTTGGCTTACAAAAGAACATGAGAACTGAGACCATAAGTTCTTAATTCTAAACCATTATCTTCAATTAATACAATACTTACTTGTTCTGATCCATTAACATTATAAAAACACAGGGTTGGTAACCAGTCCATGAGAGGACTTCGATCTGTTTCAGAAATTCCATTCAACATAATTCCTTCATAAAATAGTTCATTGGTTATAGCAGCAATAACAGGGTGACAACGATACTGTGTCTTAAGTAATATAGGCATGTATCCCTATGATTATAGCAGGGAGAAAAAGAGAGCAAAAATAACTGTTAGTTAAACCCTATTATAACTAATGCTATAACATATATAAACTCTTATTGTATAACGAATTTAATTCTATATTGAGATTCCTTTTTATGCTAGACTTATAGTTGTAAATAATATGTTCAACAAGATAAGGATAATAGGATAGGACAGTTATTAAAATATAAACTGGAAAAATGCTCTAAGCCTTTTGTATCATGGGACAAGTGTCATGATATCATCACACTTGGTCTGAAATAAATAGGATTATTAGCATAGCTCTACATGATTGTTACTTGTGAAAGACATAGCTGTCTTCCAGGTTTATAGACAGTTATTAAAATATAAACTGGAAAAATGCTCTAAGCCTTTTGTATCATGGGACAAGTGTCATGATATCATCACACTTGGTCTGAAATAAATAGGATTATTAGCATAGCTCTACATGATTGTTACTTGTGAAAGACATAGCTGTCTTCCAGGTTTATAAAAAGTTTCAGCGTACCAAGAGTTAGAGACACTTCATCCATAGCTATGGAGAACTGAGATACTTGTTTTATGCAATCAGAAGGATAAATCTACCTGCAAACTTGAAGTGTAGATTGTTGTTCTTTATCATGTTTAAAATGGTTTTCTTTCAACGAAGAAGTATGGTAATTTGGTCATATACCTTTGTGTTGTTTTTCTAAACATATTTACGTAGTATTTCTTTTTTTCTTATTTTAAATCTGTGAATCATATTTTCCTTACAACAACTGTCTTGTCAAATTAGATTATTAACTAGCAACATTTGGAATATATTTATACTTTTTCTATTCTAATAAAGGAAGAAGAAATTGCAAACCAACCCTTAGAAAAAATACATAATAGTTTCATCTTATCTACAAATATGACCAAATATGCCAAGCTTGTAGGCTACAGTGTATCTTATTTCAAAGATCCAAAGAAGGAATGCTATTTGATAAAAACATTTTCAAAAATTAAAGAAGTACTAGTATTTGTGAAAATGATATACTGGCATTACTGATTCAACCCAGATATTCAACAGATTCTGCCTGATTCAAGAATTCTGTAAAAGATGATTTATTCTTCTTTGGAGTGATTTTTATAAACATTCTAATAGAAGTATTTGTTTTAACTGCACCACTAATTCTTTGGGGAAGAACTTTTAGGGAAGACAGTAGAAAGTTATCCAGCCCTTATGATATTCTTCTATATGAATGCCTATTCACAATGGACATCATATCTGTCTCATGTATTCCATACTGAAATATCTACTAACTGAAGTTTGTACTAAATATTTTTATAAAAAGCAGGGCATATAACATTAAGAAAGCAACATTTTGCTATATATGTGTGTGAATTTATAAGATTTTTTAAACTGCCTCACTCCAGAGACTCTAAATAAGTTAA